GTGAATCATTGAGAAAGGCTAAGATGATTTATAAGAAAGGCTAGGATAGGTATTTCGAGTGTGCTTGGAAAGTTGACAAATTTCACACTGAAAATCTTTAGAGATGTTATTGAATAATGAGGGAAATAGCCTTTTTAGGTACAAAATATTTGGATGTCCTAATCTATAATGCCATCACATGATAAGGTCATCCTTACTAATACTAGAGGCTAAGGCTATATAAGAGTTTTGTGGTCTTTCAAGTGCACCATCTTGAAAAAGGTAAAGCCTTGCGTACATCCTAGTATTGCCAATAATCCTCCCTGAGCCCAATTCCTGAAATTCACACAAGTTAGGAAAAAATTTAGTGACACAACATCTATCCTTTGTAAGCTTACTGATGGAAAGTAGGTTACAGCTTAAATTTGGGACATGAAGGACAGAGTCGAGTGTTATGTCTTTTGAAACTACAATAGAACTTGTTCCTGCCACTTTTGAGAGAAAGCCATCAGCAATTTTTACAGTAGAAGTATTATAGCAACGTCTATATGTGTTAAATAAGGATGCATCTCCAGTCATGTGATCTGATGCTCCTGAATCAACAATCCAAGATTGTGTATTTCCCCGTTGAACATTTAAGGCATTTAGGAAATTACCTTTTTGTGCTAATAAACTAGTTCCAAAGGTTGCAGATTTGTTTTTAAGGGTTTGTTGGAGCATCACCTTTTTGTGACTTCCCTCATGCCATACCTTTGCAGAAAAAGAGTTCTTACTCTTGCTAGCCATAATGGAAACTCGTGTGGCTATAGTCTGGTTCAGGCCAACTTGCTCTGATACCATGTAGAAAACTTAAAAGAACAATTGTCCTTATTTCTTCTTATTCAATCTAGAATGAAGGAGAATGAAGTTCCTTATTAGGAAACAACTTCATGAAACAGAAAATGAAAATAATAAAAGGAAGGAGAATTATTCCATTCTAAAATAGAAGCAAATCCCTAAAAACTTGAGAATCAAAATAGTTGATTAAATTAGAAGAATAAATGAGAAATAATCCCAAAATAAATTAGGAAATCAAGCTGCAGTAATGTAGGAGAATCAGATCTGCATTAATGTAGGAGAATCAGATCAAGCTGCACTAATGTAGGAGAATCAGATTTCTACAATATCAGAAAATATATTCTGATATCGGAAGAGGCATCTTATACCTGCTAAGACCTATTTGTATTCTGTTCAACAAGCAATGAGACTGTTAAAGGGCAAATCTTTGTTGCGAATTGTGATGCTGTCAATTTTTTTAAGCATGTCTACATATGTTTAGTTATTATTGCAATCATTTAGTAATGAATAACACGATACATAAAGCAAAGGTAAAAGCAATGTCAAGCTGTAATAAAGGTTTAATGTATCTATAAAATCAAATTAAAACCAGAGAGGAAGATAAAATTGACTGCATATTGATGATTAGTGATAGATTTATATTGCAGTTCTGATTGGTGACTATTTGGGTCAACAACCTCATTCCTCTTTCTTGCATTGATCTAATAAAATACAAACCAGCTGCTTATTGAGCTATATAACTTTGGGGCTACATGTTTCTTAAGCACTGCTGACATAATTGAATTGATTGACTCCCATTTGTAGTAGAAATGTTTGTTGGTTAATTTGGATTGACTTCTCACTAAATTGCTATGTGATTTCAGACCTTTTCTGTTTTGGGTTTCTGCGCATATTATAATAGACACTCGACTAATTGTTGGCTTGAGTGATGCTAAGAAGGTTAGTATTGAAATTTATTAAACTTTCTGCATTAGTTAAGCTTTTCTCAGATATACTAAACACTTTGAAAAAATCTTTCATTACACTAAACCAAAATTTATGTAGATAATTCCAATGCTGCTGGATGGTTTATCTGCATTAAGCAATCGTATTCTGGATAAAGATGTTATTTATGGTCTCCTGCTAGTCTTGTCTGGAATATTGATGGACAAAAAAGGTGAGCCTAATTGTGCATTGGTAGATTGTTAGTATCTGTTAAACTTCTCTTCAGTAAATACATTTCTTCGACACATATATTTAGTCCTTATGGATTTGCTTGGTAGAGTAGACAAGTGGAAGGATGGATAGGGGAGGGTGGCAAAGTTGGAAAGAAAATGAATTTTGGGTGTGCTTGCTAGGAGAGTAAGGTGACAGGAAAGAAAATGGGAAGGACGGTTATTTTTCACACTTATTTACAAAATAAATCATTCCAAATTGGAAAGATAGGAGGAGAGAAAATGGGAGAGGTATAAGTCCAGTGATGCATATTTACAAGATTTTCCATGATATTTAGATTTTGTTCTTTTCATCTTAATTTACAAAGGGTATAATAGTGAAAAAATTAATGTTCATTTTCTTTCTCTTCATTTTTCTACTCTACCAAGCAATGGATAAAATATATAAATTATATTTTTTTCAACTTTTCCTACTTTTTTGCCAAGCGCACAAAAAAAAAAAAAAAATGTTTTCCACCTTTCCACTTTTCTCCTCTTTCAAATTTTCATTGTTTCATTTCTCTATCAACCCTACCAAGCAAAGCTTAAAGGTTTTAAATTTATTATGAAAAGATAAAAGCTAAAGAGATTTTGAACATCGAATAGCTGTTAGAAAAACTTAATCAACAACTAAGTTTGATAATTACAAGCCACTTAAGCTCTGAATGGTTGCATTTCAGCTTTCTCTAATTTTGCAGTGAAGCAAATAGCGAAAATTGCAATAGTTAAAAACTAGCAAATGGCCGAAAAAGAAGCCAACTTTACCAGAGATGTTGTACATGAAAGTTGTCATCCATGATAGTAACTTGTTAATTTTTCAAAACTATATATATTTTTTCCTTTTATATAAAACTATTACCTTTTACTATTATATATTAATTTTTCATTTACTTTCCAATACCAAAAGTGGTAGCATACAGTAACATTATGGTTGGGTTGTTGTATTATGTCTGTCAGCATATTATTGCTTCTCTGGATGTATTTTGGAATATATTTGAATGCTTGCCAGAATATATCTTTGCTGCAAGGTAAGTAACAATAAAGATTGGCAACATATAACACAAAGCCATCAAACAGGGACCCTCACCTGATGTAAAATTATTTTATTGTACTATCACATTATGATTTTACATTCAGTGACTATCCACTTCAACTTCCAGCTGATATTTGTAAATAATGTGTATGCATGCAGGTCAAGAAGCTGTTTCAGATAGTGTGCATACTATTGTCAATTGTCTCAATGAACTTATTCAATACCATCATATGATGGTAATTGAAGGTTTTCGAGGAGAATAAGTATATTTGTTTATCTTTCTTCTTGTGCTTTTAAGTACAGATTGTTATTTTATGAAATAGCATTCTGTCTAGGCTCAATCTCTCTCCGTCCTCTCCCACCTACCACCCCTTCTCCCCAACCCAAAGAAAACGGAAAAAAGCCAACAACATCTATCATTTCCTACCCATCTAACATAAATGTATTACTTTTCTTTTGCAAATATGGCCTCGTCGTCTGTCTACTACACTCTACTACATTTCCTAACTCCTAGCTTTTTCCTCTTCATCTCTGGATTATATTAGTAATTCTGCTGGTGGCAAGTGCATTAGTGCTGTTTTGGTTATTTGATCAACTCTATTGCATGCACTGGTTGAATAATATGTTAGAATTTATACATTTAAATGCCTAAAGTTGTTGGCATTAAGATATTAGTTTTGCCTTTTAGACAATAATAAATTGGTAGGATCATGGTTGATCTTTAGGTTCAAATCTAACTATTCGTGGGTGGGTAAAGATATTCTGTTTTGAAGCATGCGAATATTCGGGAAATATAATGAACAAAATTACCTTATAAAGGAAAGTAGTAAAGCCTCTTGTAAGCAACAGCAAATGTCTTGGAAGTGGGACCGACTGAAATTTGTATTCAGAATATGGAACCTAAAAATATTCATGGGTCCAGTTACTTTGACTTACCACCTTGTTAAATACTGCTTCACTGGATTTAGTACACATGGACATAGGTTATGTCTCCATTTCTGTTTAAGAAATAAAGCATTGTAAAATTGATCATTCATTTTTTTCTCCCTATAATACTAATATATACTGTTGGAGTTTCAATTTTTTTTTTCCTCTCTTGGCATCTTAAGCTTGTTCGTGAGACAGCCATTCTGTGTTTTGTTGCCGGTTCTGGGCTATCCCATGTGAGGATTTATCCCATGAGAACGCAGGTTAGTCAACCATGAAGGAGATTTTCATTTTTGGTATATTTTACTACCTCTTCGGCTGCAAGATATTTCTTTTAGAATATACCAAGGCCAGAAAAATAGTAGTTCTAGACCTGGATAATAATGAAGAGCTTATCATCATTGTTAGCAGGTACTACGAGCTATAGTAAAGGCTCTGGATGATCCGAAGAGAGCTGTTCGTCAAGAAGCTGTCAGATGCAGACAAGCATGGTCAGTGTTTTACATTGTATTTTTCTTTCGATGTGCAACAACTTGCATTCATTACTTTTCAGTTTTTTTTCTTTGACGTGCATCAGTATCACTATTGTTTTCATTCATTTATCATACAGGGCTTCAATTACATCAAGAACCCTTCATTTCTAACATCCTCACTTTGCCTCCAAGGCTAGCCAGGTTCAGTAAATATTGCTTGTCTTTTCTCATCATTTGTTATAGTAAAAAGAACTGCCAATTTTTACTCTCACGGGACACTTGTAAATATTTTCAAAGTGACTACATTTTTTTACCCTATTGAAAATCGATATTTCTAGTAAAACCTCGAATTAGGTTTTTCGGATAATAAAATTGCTTGTTCGTCCCCAAAGTTGTGCAAAAATGAAGTTCAAGGATATCTGTTAACAGGATCCAAATGGGTGGCGGTAAAATTCATAAATCGAAAGACAGGCGTTGCAGGCCGTACAGTAAACTCAATTTGGCATTTTCTAAATGGGTTATTACGTAATTTGATGTTCGAATTAAATTACTATTTATTAAAAAAATATCACGAGACGTTTTGTTTCGTTATCTATTTGATTCAAATGCTGATCTGACAAGACTGACAAATTAAAATAAATTTTAAATTGTGTCATGATATTATTAATTATTTTAATAAAATTAATGTCTGAAGTAAAATATTCGACGAAATAAAATTATGAATTATTTAATTGTAAATTTTTACATCACACATTAATACTTTCTAAATCGAGTGGCAATGAAAAGACAACACAAAACTGCTTGAAGGTACAACGCAACGGTTGTGGGAAAATACACGTAAAAACATCATTTTACATTTGCTTAATCTCTTCGTACAACAATTTACTCTTTCTCCACTCGCCTGTTACAGTATTCAAGGAAAAAAAAAAAAAGGGAAAAATCTATATCTCAACTGAATTTAACTAAGGATCCAAAAACCAAAAGTTTTGGAATACAAATATGGGGGATATATCACTTATCCTGATTTATTTGGGTGAGGCTTTACAGAAATAACTAAGGATCAGTCAACGCCCAACAGCTACAAAACTCCTCAAAACCTTCTGAAAGGCTACCATCATTTACTCATGCACCAATCAATCAGACAAATCATCTTCATCTCCGCTATGCTGATCGACATCTTGGTATCGTGCAAGTTTCTGTGGTCTTCCGAGGCCATCTTCAGCATCTAGCCTTCCTATCTTTGAGCTTGAGATACCGTCCCTTGAGTTGGAATAAACCTGATCGCGTACCCCAGAAGAAAAAAAGATTTATATATAAGAATTAAAATCCAATATAATTGAATTTGGAGTTTAGTTCAATTGGTTCATGTAGTCATCTTTAAGAAGTGATATCTAACGAGTCTGAAGTTTAAATATCCTAGCACCTACAACTTTTCTACTATCCTTGGGTTGTGGTTTCCTTTATACCAAAAAAATCCAGTTTAATCATGGATGGTGCAAACTCCTATCTCTGGCTCCTACGACCGTACCTCTGGCTCTTTCAGTTCTATTGCAGCAACTGTTGATCTTCTCCTCACAGTTATTCTAGAAGGTATAGGAAAATGTTCAATCTCATCACTCAACCTTCCCTCTCTGGCCCTCTTTTTTCTTAAATTAAGCTTTGTGGGAAGAGGCTACAACATGAGAAAAGTGTGTTAATGTCAGTGTAATCAACATAATTTCTGCCAAAAATGTGGATTGAAAAAGATGTGAATTTTGCTTAAGTGTATACCACATAACGAGCTTCTCCTTCATCGAATGAAACAAGGTATGTTGTAGGGTCATTTGCATCATCATCCCGTACCTGTAAAGGGGTCAGATTTTTTGAGCATGTTAAGTTCTAGCTCCTGCTTGTGCAACGTAACATTACAAAAATCAAGTTACATACATCCCAATGGTATTCACGAACCCAAGAATATGAGATGTCTTCATGGTCATCATACATATCCTTCGATAGCTGTCACCATTAAAAATGAAAATTGAAATGACAAAGCAATTCACTTAGAATCAACATATTGAAAGTTATGGCTGTATGCAGCAACAACCGCAATGCTGATGGATAAAAAAGTGGAATGCAAGGCATATCTACCTCATCAAGAGAAGGCACCGTGTATGCCAAAAATTTCTCAGGATTAGCCGGATCTGAGCTTGGTGCCAGATAACTTTTCATAATGGCCTGCAATTATTAAAAGAATTCAAAACCAATATAAAATGAACTCAATATATAGAATCAGTAGCCACTGTGTCCCTCTGCCCCTTAGTAAATTTATATAGACTTTGAATAAAATTAGAAGTTATTGCCCAAAATAACATTGCACAGTTAACTATGATCATCCCTTGAATAAAAGCCGCAGTGATACTATCAACTATTTGTGGCATACTCATTGATATACTAGGGCCTCGAGACTGCATGTGGATTAATGTCAAACAAAAAGCCAAAAAAAAAAAAAAGTACTTAACATAAAAATAACAGGTCCCAAAGAAATCCTAAGGCCAGCAAAAAGATTCATGAAACATTTCATGCGTACATCACATTAACTTGCAATTTATTTATCATAAATAATAACTGAATTATGCAGCACATTCTTTTGGTCTGTACTCTACCACTAATCTTCCAGAAAACAGAATTTACTTACCAGAGAGCCAAGATATCAATAAACTATAGTAATCCTTGTGGTATGTTAATCTCAGGATATTAACTAATTTTATAAGCAGAATACACCACCAATGTGTTGCATGCATGCGATAAAACCATTTCTTAACTCACCCTTGATTCATGCTCATCACGAATAGAGCCATGCAGTTTGCTGAAGATTTCTGAGTCAGCTGTAGGAGCACTATCAAATACCACCACAACGAACTGATCATTGTACCTGGTACAACCACATCAAAGACAACAGATATCAGTATGCTGTAACACTGACAAAGCAAAATAACTAATTATTGAATTCTAAAAGTTTTATTATCAAATCCTTAGAAGTCCCTATATTGTGATTCAAATAGAAACCATCAACTACTACTTTCCCACTCCTGAATCCCCCTTACACATGCCTATTTAAATACACTTTTATAAATACTCACTGTGACATTCTGTTGCATTTCAATGGAAGGTGAGGTAAGAAATAATGACTCACATGTTTTATAGAGAAGACAAACTAGTCAATAGTTATCCCCAAAAACAAATGTAAGGTTCAAGTTGGAAAGAGGTTTGAGAATGGAAGCAAGGATGATAGCAGGCAGCTTCAAGACTTGAGGCTTTTTTTTTTTTTTTGTCTTTATCTCAAATTTTCATCTTGTTTTGCCAATCAAAGAAGGAAAATCCAAACCAGGATGGCAAAGCCTATCCTAAACCCTAAGCTTACCTGATATGATAGGTTCGAAAAATCATGCAGCTAAAGACATTAGATTCACCTACCTAATACAGGTTTGGCCTCAATATTCTTGTTGGTGTTTAGATTACCAAATTAATTTTCTTTCCAGAAAGGAACCTTGTAAAAATAACATTTCTGCCACATTATGTGGATTCTTTTTGCTAGAAACAAAACAAGACCGCACAACAATAGATATATCAATGAATCAACACATAATTCAGTGACAGAGCAAGCTTCATACCTATTAATCTTGATCAACTGAGACATAGTTACGCTGATAGATTAAATGTAGAACATGCACAGTCAAGATTTCATTCATATATCAGAGCCCACAAAGAAAGTAAAAATAAAAACATAAAAGCACAAACTAATTCCATACCGATCAAAATCGGGTAAGAGGGGCATAACTTCAACAGGCTCTAAGTTTTTATTGGTTGCATGGACAGGACGTAACTTGGATGCCTGAAATGATGCCTCAATTTCTTTGATTTGCCTTTCCCTAATAAAATTGTCAAGGCTTTGATGTCAACATGCCGGTAAGTGGAAGTAGATAAGTTTTTCATAAATCTGCTTCTAATAAAAATTTCTCCCCAGAGAGGGAGGATGAAATAAAACAAACCTATTGTTAAGGTTATCCAAAAGATTGTGGCCTCCCTTAAGTTCTCGCAGTTCTTTTGCTTGCTTTTCAGTCAGAGACTGCAAGTGCAAATGTATTTAGTTTTGAAACAGCTTTCAACAATAATTGTCAAGAACATCAAATACGAAAAAGGTAGTTAGCAATTACCTGTTTTATTGATTCCATACTAAGTGGAGATATATACTGTGTTTTAACCAGCCAAGAAACACCTTTGTCAGTGGGTCTTTCTTTTCGTCTTATACCATCTTTTTTTATAGGGGTTACAGCTTCATCATCTCGCAAGAGTTCCTCATCTTCTGGGGCAAGAAGTGGTCTAACACTAGTAGGACTAAATAAACAAACAAAAAATTGATAATCAAAATAAAGGCATAAGAAAGCAAAGGACAAAAGAAAAAAAAAAGTTTTAAGCAGTTGAAATATGATACTTGTATACACTAAGGTCAAGCAGGTCCAGTGGTATCCCAAGATCTGGCTCAACAAAAAGTTTAGGCTTGTACATTTTCTCCATAGAAGTGATGGTGTATTTTGTAAATCTGCGAGGAAGAAGTATATATTAACAACAGATTAAATCATGACATCAACACCAAAAACTAAAACCAGCTTTTAAGTTTAAATTTTCAAAGGTCCAATAAAGTTTTTTCCAACAAAGTTTTTCTCCAGAAACAAAAGAATAATAACCACAGATGTAACATCACTAACAAGAAAAATAAAAGAAAAAGGTAAATGCATTCAATCAGACAGCCAACAAAAATATTGGACTTTGATTTTTAGAAAGAGAAAAAAAAGTCATCCTCCTTTGAAGCAAAACGGCTAGTTCTTACCGATCTTTATCCTTCTTCAAAGCAGTGAGTTTGGGTTGTCCACTTGGATCAGGAAGTTCATTTCGGAATCTACAGAATATAAGCATTTGTCATTATTGGAAGTAAACAGTATAGATATTTTCCATACTTAAATACTCAAACAAATAAAAAAAAGGAACACTTTCCTGAACTAAAAAAATCCACATATAGCAAAAATAAGAAAGAAATTGCAAGCAGAAAATATTGATCAAGTACAGTGTTCAGCCAAGAAGTATTACCACACATCCAAAAGCAAGGAACTAGGGGTCAGAAAAAAAACTAAGAAAACCGAAAATCGATTCGAAACCATAATGTGCAGTTCGGTTTGGATTAAGGTCGGATATTAAATGTATATATTAAGTTTAGATTAGATTTCAAATCGAGATATGATAAATAAAAAAAGATAAAATCAAACCGAATTATATATTTTTATTAGTTTTTATATATATTTTAAATTTTTATAAAATAAAAATAATTATTTTATATATAAATCTATTTAAATATATTGAAAATTTTATTAAAATAATATATAAAAAAAATTTAAAAACCGATTAACTGAACCAAACTGCTAGAATTCAGTTCGGATTGGATCGATTTCAGAAAAAGGTCAGATCGGATTCGGATTAGATTTTAAAAATTTATAATATTATGCATTATCCGAAAAAATCGAACCGAATTTGATCTGATCTGAACCATTATCACTCCTAAAGGAACAGTGGAGAGACACATTTGAAGGAAATTCACTTCCCATTGTTCATAAAACTATTTTAGCTACAGAATGCACAGGTTCTACAACATGGAGGGGCAAGAACTGATAATTTTCAAGTTCACCATGGTCCGTCAACCTACTTGTGCCATATTATTCAGATATCAGAGGCATATCCAGCACTAATTACTCTATCATAAGTCATCCTGGGATATTTTACAGACAGGCAACCCCTAGTCTCTGGTCATAAATGATTTTCATCCCCAAATCAGAAAGCCAAAAAAGAAATGGGAGAATTTTTCCTCTGAGGCGAAGAGACAACATCATTTAACCTTAACCAGATAAAATTCTTTGAGACAAGATGACAAATACGAAAACTTAATAAGTTTAATATCTAAATTTGATGTGACCTAAGAACCAAAAAGAAATTGTAAATAAGAAAGAAACTTGCATTTCCAAATACTCACTTCAACTTGCACAAGAATGTAGTTGGCTTCTTTAACCTGTTGTCAATCCTCTCACAGCTCAAAAACGGTGTAGCTCTCCTATCTCCCATCCGTGACCCTACCATTGAACCATGCCCTTTCCCCGATGACATCATCTGGGTCTTTTGGGACTCCTTCATCTGCTGCCTATGATTCTCTTGCCTTTGCTTCTCAGACTTCCCTTTCTTCCTCAATCTTCTCTCCTCCTCCGTCTCCACCCTTCCTACCTTTAGCTCTCTACCTCCAACCCCGTGATTGGAATGCCCATGTTCAAGCCTTCCAGAACCCGAATAATCCCTATTCCCTCCCTTACTGCGCTCACTTAACCCCTTGTCCTCAACACTCTCCTTTGGAGGAGGTGGCGGTGGTGGAGAACTCGGGGGAGGTGGTGGAGGGATCAAAGAACCCGGAGGAGGAGGTGAGGGAGGTGGCTGCATTGCTTGATTACTATACTGTGATGAATACTGTGAACGTGGATAGCACATTGGTGGCTCTGAGTTGATCGTATTTTGTGGTATTGTAGGCAAAGTAGGAAGTGGGGGAGGTGGAGGCGGAGGGGGATAAGAATATCGCTGTTGTGGGGGTGGTGGGTGGTGCTGTTGGGGCGGTCTTGAAGGAGGGTAATGGTAATTCGGATTCGGATTCATTTGGTTGTAATTTTGACCATAATGTTGTTGTTGGAGTGGAAGTGGGTTTTGATTTTGTGGTGGTGAAGGAGGAAATGGCCCATACGAGGCCATTCCTTTTGTTTTTTATTTCCTTGATCACAGTATCAAAATCGGAGATAAATCAACAAGAACCCAAAAGGACAGTATAAAAGATAAAAAGTTGAGATTTTGAATTTTGGGTTTCTTTTTTTCTCCAAGTTTTACTGCGGAAACTGATCCAAATTGGAAACTTTAAACTGCCTAGTTACTCAAATTTGAAATATCCTATTTTTAACCGAATCAAGAAAGACCCCTAAAAAGAATAAAGTTCAAATTTTGATATCCCAAATTCCAAAAGTCAGCTGAAGTAGCTAAACACTAGCAAAATCAACCGCCAAATTTTTTTAATTTTAACGGTCAAGAAAAAATTAAGGGAAACAAACCGTTGAAGAAGCTAAACAAAGCAAGGATTTGAGTTCCCAATTCCAGAAACCCTAAAGAAAGAGATAGAAAGTGAATTGGAATCTAACCTGTCAATACTTAGTACAAAAATCAGCTCCAAATATATTTATAAAAAAAAAGAAGAAGAGAAAATCCAAAAGATTATATTTTCAAATAATTCAAAACAGATTAACAAGGAGTAAGTGAATTTTATGGGATGAAGTCAAGATAGAATGTACGGAAACCCTAGCTAAGGGAGCGAGATCAAAAACCCCAAAAATTTTATGATAGTGAATTTGGGTGGTATTGAAAGCCCTAGATGGATTGATTGGAAACAATGGAGAAAATCATAAAAGCGCATTGCTATTAAATTATTATATCTACAGTTCTTTTTTTTTTTTTTTAGTACAATTATAATTTTGGCTTGTCGGAAATTTTTTTGAGTAAAATTATTATATTTACAGCGCTTAAGAGAACACAGTGAACAGACCGGAAAAGGTGTGTCGGAAGGAGAAAGCGGGGATAGTAGTTGACTCAGCTTTGGATTTTTATTTTATTTTTACATAGTTAGTAATTCTTCTATTTTTTTCAAAATCAAAGTTAATTTTTTTAATATTTGTTAAATTTATTTTTAATAAGTAATTTTGTCAAGCTTATTGATTTTCCAGTCTTTTTAATATTTTTTATTTCTTTAAAAATTCTTATATATATATATATATATACATACATCCACATATAATCCTAATGACAACAACTTTTTAATATATAATTTTATATTGTAAATAAATCTTGCTTTTTTTTTAACATTCTAGTTTCATTTATAACTTATGTATTTATATTTAGAGTTTAATAATACATAAATTAAAAGTTATAAGTTTTAATTATTTATGTCTATTTTGTATTTTTTATTAAATACAATTTGAAAAAAACTCAAACTTAAATTTTAAAATAAAAATAAAAGCACTTATCATTAAATTAATTGTTCAAGTGCCATTTATTCTTACAGTATTATTTGATATATGGAGCCGTACAAATTTCACTAAACATCTAATTTAATTTGACACAAAAAAAGTTTTGCCCTAAATTTTTATTTTTCTTATTATGACAATGATACAAAGCCCAATCATGCTCGGGTTGGGCTTCTCATTTACAAAGTAAGGCAGTGCAATCCAAAATGACTTGTATGTGCATGCCATAGCCATACACGTTGAGAGAGATTCACCCATGAAAGAGTTGAACACCAATACTTGGAATTCTACATCTAATCTATAACTTATTTGTTGACGAAAACCATTTCATTCACCAAACTCAAATCTAAAAGTTCATACATAGCATACCAGAAAACTCTAAGAGGCCTATAAAGCAAGCTAATGAGGTGAATTTTGGGCATACCAAATGGATAACAAATTCACCAGCCACAATATATATATATATATTTTGTAATTTCTTGCCACATTGCACTCAATCGTTGGATCATATCTCTATTATTATTTGGGGCGACATGCCGTCTCCATTGGCCCAGCTTGTCTTGCCAGCTGAACATTTTGATAATCATTGTTGAAAAAATTAGCAGGAATTAAAAAATTACCTGACAAGTTATGAATATATAGAATTTCGTTTTAATAGGGTGAAAAAAAAAAAAAGAGTAAAGCACCTGAAAATAAGCTTCAAGCTTCTTTTTCAGTGTTGCGTACTCTTGCTTCAGTTGTTGGAAAGCTCTCACACATCTGCTTGCAATCATGCAAATGAATTAAACCATTTATATTTATGTTAAGACTCCTAATTTTAAAGTATAGCTTTTATATGCACTTGAACTAATTATTTCATACTTAAACAAATCATATATGAACAGATTTTGTTATGTTTATAATTTATTCATTTAATTAACTAATCTTAAAATATTATTAGTAATCAATTGTTAAATTTAATATATAAATAAATATAAATGAATAAAAATAAAATCTATTCAGGAATTTTTTATCAAACGTTTTGTTGGTTCACATCCTTATTTACAAATACTCAAGCAGGAAGCTTTCAAGAAGGTCCAAACTTGCTATGAGCTTGTTCATAATGTTAGATTGTGATGAGAAGAAATCTAGGGTCAGATGGTTTACCCTTCTCCATTTCCAGAGTTGCAATGTTCCCTAAATAGTGTGCTCTCAGCTTTCACCTTTTTGGCTCCAATGCTGCAACCAATCAAAGACAATGAAAATAAACAATTGGTTGTGTCCAGCATAGAATATACTTGATGTTACCTATAATAAGTCTTTTATACAAGATCGTGACTCTTTTCACAAACTTAATTTTAGCAGCATGTTACCTTGAACTGCTTCCTTTGAACTGATGCATATAGCCATCCAACTTATTAAAATCAAAAGGTTTCCTCTCCCTGAAGAGCATATAGCAGACCAAAAACATAAAAAAAAAAAAGGTATAATTATCATTTGACTCATCAATATTGTCCTCATATTTTGTTGTTATATATTATAATTAGTAGAAAATTGAACTCACAGTGCCTGCTCTATTTTAAGGATTAATCTGGCTGAATCGCGGTAGTATGAGGTGACAACTTCTTCCACGAAATTCGGGTTAGCATCATCTTGGAGTTCCTCCAACTGGATGAATTGTTCATCAAGGTATCCCTGCAATGATCAAATACTTGGTGTTTAGTTATGGCCACATAAATAAGTTGGCTATGAACATGATAAAACTTTGAGGGAGTAGGAAATAGGAATTTACATGTGCTTGCAGACACATGGTTCAGGCCTAGCTATTTATGGAAGTGTGGTTAAATCCGATGGTTTAACTCAGATGACATAAATCAAACTTCCAGGTGATCCCAGGTGAATCAAGAGCAAAACTTAATTCAGTTGGTTTATGCAATCATCTTTAAGCTTGAAATTCAAATCCCTGAAACCCCTTTCCCTCTCCCAAGATTAGGGCTTTGTACCCAAGGTACAGACATCTAGGTGAATATTGCACAAGCATAAAACAAAGTGTAACACCATTTCCAGGTTAATTTTCCTGTACCCTTTGGGAAACAGTTCATTAAAAAAATTGTATGCATCCTTTTTCGTTTTTTTTTTTTTTTTTGCATTTATTGGTTATTTGGTGGGTAGTCTTGAAGACTAGTGCTTTTGAAAACTTTTCTTGTGCGTGTGTACGTGCATGTAATGTTTAATTGTGTTTGCAAATGTTAGGAGAACCTCAAGTTTCTTCATTTGCCAACCGAAAATGTTGAGGAAAAACAAACCTGATCAAACAGGGCTTGCCTCATGATTGCAAGTTGCCGACGCATGGGGTTTTTCTCCATCGAGGAAAAAGTGCTTGAGGAAGCAAAAGAAAGAAACAGAGAGCAAGCAGGCTAGAGATGGTCAAAGAATGGGGGAAAAAGAAGTTGAAGGAAGGAGTGATAATGCAATGGAAGGGGGCAAGAAGGGGTTTATATAGTAAAGAAATCTTCTTTCACCAGCCTAGCCAAAAAAAAAAAAAAAAGTTAAAATGGTGCAACTCAGGACTAGTGGAAGGACTAATTAAAGATTGCACAAAAAATGTATGTGGACATAATAAGTTGGTATGAAGGAGCTAGAAAATGGAGATTTTAGTATCTTTGCATTGTTATAATTAGGGCCTGCTATATTCTGATTCTGGTCTAAAAGAAAAAATCAGATTTGTAGTGAATTATATTCGACATACTGTCAGTGTATAATATTTAGAGTTTATATTTGATGTACTATTAGTATATAAATTTTATACACTGTCAGTGAAGTGAAGCATATGATGACATTTCATTAATGAGAAAATTTTAAAATAAAAATCAAATTTTTTTGTATTTATTTTAAAGATTTATACAAATTTAGGTTTACTTATGAATGAGATAATATTATATGATTCACTAACAGTATATTATATTTGACAGTGCATTAAATATAAGCTTATTTAATTTATTCACTAATGAGATGACAATATTTAATTATTTGATAGTGTAAGAAGTTTATGCTTTGATTATATATCAAATATAAATTATTTCATAAAATTAATTCTTAATGCTTTTACAGATTCTGTAATTGTAACTGACACTTAATTATAATTAATCCTTAGTGATTCTGTGAAAACTAATACTAACAGTGACAAGACAAATGTAATTATCTTTAAGGTAACAAAAGCAACATACAACATTATTAATTTCTTAATTACAACAAGAGATTAATTAATTATAGGACTGCTATTTTGTTGATAGGCTTGAGTGATGTATGAATTTTAACTTGAAAGCTAGATATGAAAGACAAGTTTTGAATAATTTAAAATTAATGCATATTATTTTTATATGATTGGAGCTAGATACTATATATAATGTTTAGTCATTTGATGAGATGTGAATTTAGCCGATCAATTAATTTATTCATATAAATTTATCATTTTTCACTGTTAAGCTACATTGGCATCTTTTTTCCCATCTAAAATATGTTAGAACCTTTTTCCTTTAAGTTTCGTTAACACATGTACCATCTTTTATGCTTTACAAATTACAAGATAATATTGATCTTCACATGATAAATAAGAATATTTTTTTCTACTAAATTGAGTAATTTATTGTTTTAATCATTTAATTTTTGAAAATTTTTTTTATTTTGATCATCTAATTTAAAAAAAAAACATGTTTAGATCATCAACATTGATTTATAAATTTTAACATCACTCAATCATTGATAATAATGGTTGTCCATACGGCTTTCACACATCAATTGACCTACATCATGTATCATTTCCACATCAACTGCTCTAGCACATGACCTTATCTACATTGAAAATACAAAATATGAAAAAAAAAAAAAAAATTGGGTGACCTATGAATACAAAGTTTTATATCTTCACATGATAAAAGAGTGGAAAAGTCACATGATAAAAATCAGGTAACGTAAAATCATATGAAACAATCATTAATTTTTAACCGTTAAATGACCAATGCTATAATATTTATAAACATTGATGATCAGAATGGAATATTTTTAAAAAATAAGGGATGGAAAAGGTAATTTACTCCAATTTCAATTAAACTATCCATCATTCCTAGTTTCTCATATTAGATATCATGGTCTACATATTATTATCTAACTTAATTAAATAATTTTTATTTATAATTTAATAACTTAAATTAATAAATTAAATAAGTATGACTTTATTAATATTGCTATCAACACTTATTTTGATCAGTGCAAATAAAAGAAAGATTTTCTTTTGTTGTAATGCATACGGTGATAGAATATATAAATAAAGATAATTAAATATTAAGTTAAAGAAATGCTCCTCTCTTTGCCTATAAAATAATACTTTCTGTCCATTAAGAAAGCATATAAAAGATTAAAAGATCAAGAGAAAGAGAAAAAATTATAACACATTTTATTAAAGAATTTATAATGGATCAATGTATGATTTTTTTTAATTAAAAAATTAAGAAAATTATCTTGTTTTAAAACCATAAATATTAAGATTATGCAAAATTAATTTCAATTAACATAATAAAAAAAATTTAACATCTCACCCTGGCATCATTATTACGTACTAATACCAATTAAAAAAATTATGGGAAGTATAATGAAGAAGCTGGATATGAATGCACTAAAATATTCTTTTTCCATTAGGAGTATAATTTTGTTGCTTTCACTATAAGGTGAAGAGTGGGCTAAGAAAGATTTTCATAAGAGCAGCCAACTTAAGCCCCGATATGTCCGAAACACCAAAGTAAGTTAGCAGCATATGCCATTTTCGCTTCTCTTTATGTTTGCTTTGGCCACAATTATCAATAAAAACAGATTTTTAGTGGGCATGAATGAAATAAAGAATTTATAATAAAAAGATAACATCTAATACATTTAAAATTTTAATTTTATTTTTAGACTGCAACATCTTTTATAAAAGAAATTATATTGAAATAGGCTAAATTAAGTTCAATCATTACATTCAGGCTAAAGCCAAACTTTAGAAATTACATCATGCTTCATTATTATTATATTACATCATGCTTCATTATTATTATAAGTACTGAAATTAGATCTTCAGTCTTACTAGAAATTGTATACATGAACCATTCCAGTTTAGTTCCAAATTCAAATATCTTGATTACTTTTGTGATGCTAATTATTACTATATTCAATTATTATTTGTTTCAAAAGAGCAAGATTGGTAGGAAAAAGGGAAGACGGAAAGCTAGCTTAACAAAACCAAAAGTGGGAGGAGTTGTTCGATTCCAACAAAAGACCAATCCTCCTCTCAGCTAAAACAAAAGTTCATGTAGGAATGAGATTGACGTCTTGATTTAGTGGCGAAAAAATTGAGATTTCAAGTTTAAATATTATCATATGTGATTTGATTTAATTTTATGTTTGATTTGTCCAGTTTTATTAATTGATTTATTTGATTTAATTCAATGATTTATTATATAAATATAGGTAATGTTTGGTGTATAAAAAAATTAATAGAATATCATGATAATCATCTTAGATTATGTTTTATTTATATCTAAAAAAAAGATAGCATTATAAAGAGAATCATTATCTTGATATAAGATAATTCAATTCGTCCAAAGTAGAAATGATTATTTTTAAATTTTAATCCATAAGATTGATTTTACATTTTTTATTATACTTTTAAAAATTATATTAATAATTTAAATTATTTAAATTTTGAAAAAAATAATTTTGATTAATAAATCAATTATCCTATCTTAATCATATCAAATACAAAATAAAATGACATTATTTAATTTAATCTTATTTACAATATCAACTTATATTATTACAATCTTATGTACCAAACATAATCATAATAATTATTATAATTATAATTTTTTTTGTACTATAAATTGCAATTTCATAAAAAAACAAGAGTTCATGTCCAGACAATCTATTTTATACTATTAAGTTTCTAATCAGTATTGGATTCTCAAATTCTCTAATTATGTTTTAAGAAATTGAACCCCTTTTCCTAAATGATAAATTGATAACAATTAAGAATTGGCCAAGCCATTGCAAAATTTCTTGATATAATTTTTTTCCTTGTAAAATGAACAATCGGCTTATAAATCCACATAAATTTTTACTATTCTTTAATCTATTCATCATATTGTATTATACATGCGATAAATTCTATTAATATCTGTAATTTTTTTTATTTCACTTTAGTCTTCAATCTTTGAATTATTATATTTAAGTCCCTAATTTTTTGAAATAATCTTATTGTGATCTTTCCGTCAAATAATTCTGTTAAAATTAATATAATATTTATATTATAGCTTATTAATGAAAAAATGACAAATTGATTGAAATAAAATTATTTTAAAAGATTACAAAATTAAATAAAATGATTTAAAAAATAATAAAAATGGATCAAAAGTTAAATATCATAAAGCCGACACGTATCTAATGAGCTAATATTTTGTCTAGGAAAAAATCTTTTGATTACTTATTAAAGTTGATGAGTTCTTTCGTGGCAAAAATTTAGAAATGCAAAATGGAAGAGTGTCATCACTTCCACCACCGCACCTTAAAAAAAAAAAAAAAGTTTAACGAAAGAAGGGAATCTTAGATCGATCTAAGCATTGATTTGATAGGAATACTGCTCATTCAGTGTACCATGATCGAAATCACTTACATCACTTCAATGTTTTTGTTATTGGAAAGAAGCTTTTGGATACTCCATTCCCTAAGTCAGCCCTTCTGTTCCTTCCCCCTTGCCTCTTTCACAAGTTTTAGGGGCTCACGTCGAGCATCTCTCATAATTTCACTACTGACGTGCCACGAAATGACAAAAATTAAAAGAGTGGTTCTAAACATATTATTTAAAATTTTCTTCTCACTCCTACATATTTCTTTTAAAAATATTTTATCTATAAAATACTAATTTTATCTTTTTTATACTCAATATTTGAGATTTTAAAAAATAGATCTACGAGATGTACGATTTGAACGGAAAAAATTTACACCATATTCACACTTTGCTCATCGTTTAAGATTCTTAAAAATCTATTTTTGAAAAATATAATTTCAGTGAAAAAACTTTAATTAAAATTTTAACTAAATTAATAAACAAAAATATAAAAATTTTACTTGCAATAAATAAAATACTAAAAAAAGACTTATGATTTAGGAGTTGATTTTATAATTTTAAGGTTAAGTTTAGATTGAATTTAAATTGAGAGTGAAAGAACGAAGAAAAGAGTGAAAAATGTATGAAGGGAAATATGATGCTCTTAGAATGGGATGTATGTAATATTCAAGCTCAATTTTTTTATATGCTAATTAGTTGACCAAATTC